GTGCTCTGCCCCCCGTCAGTCACCGCCATGGAGCTCTCGGAGGTGCGGTGCCTGAGCGACAGCGATGAACTTTACACCATCAACAGGACTCCCCCCGGCAGCGGCAGACCCCAGCGCCTGCTGTGGCAGACGGCCGTGCGCCACATCACCGAGCAGCGCTTCATCCAGGAGCACAGCAGCAGCAGCGGCGGCAGCAGCAGCGGCGGGGGCAAGGGCTTCAGCTCGGACGAGACCTGCTGCCCCAACCACCACCCGCACCCGCCGCACCACCACCACCTCCGGCGGCAGTCGGCCGGACGGAGTTTGGGCAGCGAACGCCACAACAACGGAGGCACCAAAGTCTTCCCGGAGGGCACGAGCAGCAGCGGAGACTTGGGCTTTCTGCCCCTGGACTGTGCCCCCAGTAACTCCGACTTCTTCCTCAACTGGGGCTATACATATCGCGGGGTCATCTTCCCCACTCTCCGCAACTCCTTTAAGTCTCGGGACTTAGAGCGCCTTTACCAGCGCTACTTCTTGGGTCAACGGCGCAAGTCCGAGGTAGTCATGAACATCCTGGACGTGCTGACCAAGCTGACCCTACTGTTTCTCCACTTGACCCTGGCCTCTGCTCCCATGGACCCCATTAAGGGCATCCTCTTGGGCTTCTTCACTGGCATTGAGGTGGTGATCTGTGCCTTAGTGGTGGTCAGGAAGGACACGACCTCATACACCTACCTGCAGTACAGCGGTGTTGTCACTTGGGTGGCCATGGCCACGCAAATTCTGGCGGCAGGACTGGGCTGTGGCCTCCTTGGGGACGGCATTGGCTATGTGCTTTTCACGCTTTTTGCGACCTACAGCATGCTCCCGCTGCCGCTCACCTGGGCCATCCTGGCTGGACTGGTCACCTCTGTCCTGCAGCTCGTCATGCAGCTGGTTATCCCCAGGTTTGCCGTGACTTCCCTCAACCAGGTACTGTGGTGAGGAGAGGGTGGGAACCGTCCCCTTACTCCATCACCCTGAGGGAGAGGAGGTGTGGGGGGATGTCCCAAAAGATCCCTTCCCTTTTAATCAGGTGCTCAGAAATTAATTACCTGGAGGGGAGATCATAGGCAAAAATTAACCCTCTTGTGGCCTCTTTTTCAGTCTCCCATTGCCTATTGCCGTGTTTCACCTCAAGCTGGGCGTTAGGACACTTTCTAACCACCCTGTCCCCTCTGCTTGTATATTCACTACATTGCTGTCCCTTGAAATAGAATTGGGGAGAGAAGCTCCTGGGGCAAGTGGGGAGGGTGGGTCATTTATTATTCCCCTCCCTGACTTCCAGCAGTGGTTTGTGGCTTGAGATGACTTTGTTTTGGCCAAACTCTCCCAGTGCTCCCATTTTACTGCTCATGCATTTTAACTCTGAGTCTGCTGGGGCAACTGGTACTTTTATGTGTGAAGGGCAACTTGATCTGAGCTATGGGAAAACAGGAGTGAAACATGCTTGTTTTGCAAGGAGAAATCATTGAAACCTCAGTGAAGCCAGAACAAAGTTCCCCTGGGAGATTTGGTGTGAGATCCTAGGCTGTCTTAAAGGACACTAGGAAGACTTTTCTGCTGGTGGTCAAACATTGCTGTTCTGAATCCTTACAAGTGATGTCTAGGACAGAATGCTGGTTACATAGTGGATTGTTGTGTGGTGCAGACTGCTGAGAGACGCTGGTCAGCAGGAGTCTGAGGGGTTAAAACCAGGTCTCACCTGACTTCACACTCAGAAGAGTTCTTCCACAGAAAAGTGAGAATGCACCAAACTCCCTATATCTGCAAAGCAAGAAAACAGTGGGTACTAGGACAACTTAATCCCGGAGATTCTTGCTGCTTCCATTTCCCTCCCTTTCCAGACTGTCACAGCTCAGTGCTATCAGTATTTCATAGCAGATTACCATCTCCATTTGGCTTGCTCCACGGAATCAGGGAGAAATGGGATGAGATACTGTCAGATAATCCCAAGTGGTGGCATGTTATTTACATGAGTGTTGGGATGTGCACCTGGGAAGTGACTGGTCTTGCACCTGAAAGTTTGATATCCATGATTCACGTCTGCCTTTCTTATATCCTGGTCCTCCTGAAATCCCTGTCCACACCTGTCCATCCCCTTTCTACATGCACTTGTTAGCTATGGGCTGCCTGACCTCACGTCCCAGTGATTGGGCTCACCCTGTTTTGGGAAAAGCTGCCACGGGGTGTTGTGCGCGGCTGAGCCCTGTGGATGTGAGACAATTAGGCCGTGGCAGAGTTGTTGCCCAGCCCTTGGTGATGTGCTGATGAATGAACCGCAGCCGCGTGCCACGTCCTACTCCCGTGCACTGCTGGTGCTGTTAGTGACGGGGAAAAAGCTGTGTGAGTTATGCTGATTTCTTAATGTATTTCCATGTCCTCTCCTGGAGCTATGAGTAATGCACTGCTATCTCATTACGCACCAGTATCACAACTGTTTCGCTGTTACACACACGCAACACACACATTTCCCACAGACATTTCCCAGGAGAGATACTAATATCTTCGTTTCGCAGCCAGTTGTGTGAAAGAAGTGCCTTGGAGCGGTGTACAATGAGAGATTACCAGCCAGATGATTGCCTTCATGAACTACAAATATAAATCTCCTTAACAGGATCCGCGCATCTTGTCACACGTCGGTGCTGATTTACACCGGTTCCCGCCTGCCTAGGGACCACTTAACATAGCTCGGTCCGGCCCTTTACTCCAACCCCTGCGGGAGAGGCCGGGCCCTTCCCCGCCCCGGGGGTGGCTCCCAGGCGGATGTCGGGGGGCTCGGAGGGGTCGGGAGCCGCTGGCTGGGGCTGGAGGGGCGGCGCGGGGGGCGCGGAGCGGAGCGCGGCCCGGGGCGCTGTCCGCCCGCGCGGTGCTGAAGGCGGCGCGGCGCGGCCCGGGGGCTCCCTCCAGCGGCCCCGCCAGGACCGAGCCCGCAGGGACCCAGCACGGACCGAGCCCGCAAGGACCCGCAGGGACCGAGCCCGTTCGCGTCCCCGCAGATCGAGCCCGCAGGGACCCCACAGGGACCGAGCCCGCAGGGACCGAGCCCGCAGGTACCCTGCACGGACCGAGCCCGCAGAGACCCCGCAGGGACCGAGCCCGCCCGCAGGGACCCCGCAGGGACGGAGATCGCAGAGATCCCGCAGGGACCGAGCTCTCAGGGACCCTGCAAGGACCCAGTTTGCTCATGACCCCGCAGGGACCGAGCCCGCAGGGACCCCGCGCCCTGCCACGGCCCCGCCGTCCCGGGGCCCCTCGCAGGAGGGCCATGGCTCGGCCCCGGGGCCCTGGTGCACGGTGAGGGACAGTTCTACTTTGGCGCTTTCTAGTGTTGCACCATTTTCTTACCTTTGGCAGGGGATTGTTGAGCCCTCTCGGGTGTTATTGGATTGGGGCTTTTGCAGCTGATGAAGGATATAGAAGTATTGCTTCACAGGTGAAGACAAAGAATTTAAATGACTGGGTCATCAAGGTTATGTAGGAAATCTCTGGGCCAACAAATATTTCTTTCTCCTGCAGGCAAAACATTCTCTTTTATCACAAGGCTTATTTTCCAGGTAAAATACAACGTCTTCCCTTCAAAGCAGCCATACTAGACTAAATGAACTATTTGATTATGTAGCAATATCTGTGAGCATCTTGCTCTGTCTCAGGATGCAGACAGATGCTTACACCGGACAGAACCCATGAATTAAAGTACTCAATTAAAGAGAAAGCAGATGGTAAAACTCTGGTACAAATAATGGATTTTCTACTGATTTTTTAAAATCAAGATTTCATACAGGGAAAATACTGAATTCAGCTCTGAACAGAAAAAAGTCTGGAGTCAATTTAGGACTGTACCCAGTTCTATGGGCAAAATGATTGTGATCCTCTTCTCAGTCACACAGGTAAAACTCAGCCATACATCTATCTAAACTCATAAAGTTGCAATAGTTTACACAAAAGGAAAATCAAGTACTTATATGTGTTTTCCCCTAACCTCTTAATTAAATTTAGTTTTCACTGATAAGTTTGTTGACAAGCAGGTCAAACCATTAGTAATGCTGCATACAAGCATGCAGTACTGCTGCCTGGTTCATTGTTTGTTGTAGTTTTCATGCATTATCATGCATACGAATAATTCTCTCTGTTTAGCTCTTTTTCTTGCAGTAACACTTAAGATATCACCTGATTTTTCTTCCCTAGCATCCTAGAAAAAGGTGAAGGAGAAAGGCTTGAACCTAGATTTTCTTAAAGCAACAAGAACAAAAACCCAAACATAGACTCACCAATTTAAATCCTGCTAAGTCCTGAGTGTTTCTGGGGGGATATGATCACTCTTAAACCCAGCTGACTCCAGCCTGCAATGCTGAGGAATGTGCTGCTGCTCAGTTTGAGAGGAACTATGAAAAAGGGACTGATACCACGACTTAGGTAAAGACTGCACTAAAACTGATAAAAGATTGGGTCAGGAAGCAAATGAGAAATGAAAAATCTTACTGGCAAACAAGTGCAGTGCATAAATTTGTCTGCCTGGCCAGATACCATGATGGGATATCAGTGCTTGCCTCTGACATTCCCCAAAATGAAAGTTTTATTTGTATTGAATTCACTTTTACTTTTTCCTGGGTAACAAAGTATGCAGTCCAAAATTTCGAAGATCACATATGTATTTCAGGCATACGGGAAAGAACAAACAACTCAGAGCTCCTTCATGTTATGTAACATAGGCAGATGATAATATAGACATGAATTTTGACAGGCTTGAAATTATGTAAGGTACACACATACTCTGGATTTTAATCCTCTGCCTTTGCACTCTTCATTCACATGAGCAAATTCCACCAGAGTCAGTAAGAATACTCTCATTACTAAATCACATACGTAAGGGATACCTTAAAGAACTAAGTCCTAAATTATGCATATTAAATAAAACTTTAAAAATACATTTAGAAATAACCTTGAAGTGGTAATATTAAGACTGGGCAAGCTCATTCTTTTCCCTCTATCTTTCCAAGCCTGGGCAGTTCTGTGAATTTTTTCCCAGCTTATTTTTTTCCCCAGATCCTCTCTCAGGGTTATTAATAGAGGGAAAGAGAGACTCTATGAAGTCACAAGGCGCCCTACAGAGATAAATCTGTGTAACTGTACAATGGAAACTGACAGCTTTTGCATGCGTATTTCAGCTACATGTTTTCCAAAATCTGATCATAGATATCAGTGTATAAGTATATGCAAAACACACTCATTTCTTCAAAATTTCTGCTAAATGCTTGTGGAAAATCTATTCAATCTGTAAAATATAAGGACACTTCAAAGTTAGCTACCATTTGAGAAGCAGAATCAAACACTCAACCTTTCTCCTCATGTTTGCTTTTGTAGCATTATTTGCTATGCATTTTTCTGCCATAGTCTTTTGTGGGCTACTTATAAACTGAGTGTGTGATTTTAGACTGGATTATGAACTGCTTTCCTTTTATATCCTTTAATATCACCTGACCAGTATCAGTGGGTCACAGCTTAATTAGATTAACATTGGATACACTTATCTCTGAAGCAGCTGCATCATTGTTGTGCTAAGTAGGGCAAATGCACTAAGCATATTTACAATTTGATGATTAATTGCCTACAATATGAAGGAACTCAGACAAAAACATGAATGAAACCTGCTTTCATCAGTGAATTTCAGTTTACAATTGTCAGTGTACTTGTTCTCACTAAAACTTACCTTGCTAGATTTGATGTGACTTTTTTCTTTTTTTTCTGCTGTCAAAACTTCTGTGCTGCTTTCAAAGGTTTGTTTATTGCTTGTTTATTGTTTTTCATGGCCTAGAAAGAGGCATGTGCTCCAAAACAGCAACATCTAATGCAAAATAATCACATACCAGAGCACTGCACTTACAGCTCACAGTTAACAGCAGATCATGTTTGAATGATCCTTATTAGCCTGT